AGTTGTTTACCTTGGTTAAACGAAATCGTGGTACCATGAGTTTGGACTTAGCTCTAAGGTTAATATAATAAGGTCATGTTTCTTTTCTTTGTACAATAAAGAATATATATAATATTGTAGATATCTTCTTTCTTATTGAAATTATGTACATTTTTACGGGCATATAAAATATTTGAGTAAATGTACTATGCCACAGTCATGATACCAGTCTCCTTAAACTTTTCTCTGAGAGAAACCCGAGAGCCTAGACGGTACACAGAACGAATCGCTCGAGTCGAATTGAGAACCTCCTCCTTTTTTGAAGTCGGTTAAAAATTGGTATTCATGCGTACATAAATTCCGTGAAAGTCAGAGGTGCGAGCACGGGTTTTTTCGTCTTGCACCTGATGTACTCAGAGCTTTAAATCGCAAAGATCTGAGGAGCATTGGCACTGCGCCCGTCGACCTGAGACTTAAGTTGGCATTTCCCATGTGCCTGTAATTTCACACGGCCAAAAAAGGGTAAGGTGGCAGTACTTACTTCCCTGGACGAACTCTTTCACAAGGACTCTACTGCTACGAATCACGGCTATTTTGGTATACATATATTATTAACACAAAGATGTGTAACCAACGCATAGAGAAATTCGTGATGTTTATCTGCTGATTCGATCTCTAACTCAGTTGATAGAGCGGTTGCACTTGATTGGCATACACCCAGGTTCGAATCCTGTCAGATCGAAGGAATTGTTCCTTGTGTTCGATGTTTGTTTTCATAATAAAAAAAAATATTTTAGAGACGTTCTCGTACGATCAAAATGTGAATGCGATAATATTGTGCAATCGACCCAGGTTCACATGTAGTGACACATATAATTAGAGATGATCCAAGTACATGTGTACTTACGTGGCGACGTAATAGTTCTGTTTTATGCGTAAACGATTCAAGGCTGTTTAACAATAATTGAACCAAGGTTTATGACTGGTTTAAGGAAACAAAAGTTTTGGTTTTTAGAGATTCATTATAGGCCTTAATCATGTGAAAGAGCTGGTCCAGGGTATTTCGTGGAATACTTTCCACCATACCTATGGAGTGGAATTCACTGCTTATAGACTTATTCCCAGAACGCTACAACTTAGGTCTTTTCAAGGCGAGAGTGGAATAGGCATTATTTAGGTGCCACTTTCCATCAAGTGAGATGAAGGTCAAATGCGCATAAACCTATTTCTGCCGCCAAGTAATGTCACTATTACTGCGTTCCGCTTTTGAAGGGCAAGGGTGCTGGTGAAATTACAGGCACATGGGACTTATCAACATTATGTCTCAGGTTGATGGGCGCAGTGGCAGTGACCCTCAGATTTTTGCGATTCAAAGCTTTGAGTGGCACTGCAACTGCCATGGAAAGCCGTGTCGCTTACCACCAGGCGCACGGATTGTTCGTCCCGTCACTTGGTAACATAAAAAAGTTATTAGGTACTAATATAAATTCTAATATTTCAGCTTAATACAGTACGGTACTTGCGGAAAACCGAGAATGCGCGAGAATTCTCCGGAGGACGCGAGACTTGTTTTTACGTTACATAATTAACATAAAGCGAAAAATCCAGTAAAAAAACTGGAATATATATAAAAAACTTTTATATAGTATAAATTGATTTTTAAAACCTTTTGCGTTCAGTGATGTCATTGATTTGCTTTGTATTATATTGCTAATGATAACAACGTACAAAATGCGAGACTTGAGTATGACTCAAGTGTGATATTTGCGCCGTAGTCGTGGGGCTTCCCTACCTGACTTGGATGTAAGTTATTTGGTGAATTGTACAGTTTATTACAATTACTATATTATTTAAACCAATTCTTATTTTGATGGATATTACAAGGATTCGCACGAGGGGTTACGCGTCCCCATTTATAAGGCGAACGGCTATGGAGTGGAATTCCTTGCCTGCAGACTTGTTCCCTGATCGTTATAACTTGGGCCTTTTCGAGGCGGAAGGGAATAGGCATTATTTAGGTGTGCATGATCTCTATCGTTCACTTTCCTTCTCATGAAATAGAAGTTCAACGTTTTTTTTTTTTAAAAAAATTTATTTACTGTAACTTACAAGGCCTTGTTTACAGTTAAGGTTCCAAACTACTTTTAAGTAAATAATAGGGGTTAAAGTATGAAATTGCCGATTTGTACTGAAAATCTAAATTGTTTATTTTTTAAATTTTTAACAAATTTATTTAATCAAAATAGTTGCCATTATTATCTATACATTGCTGCCATCTAATGGGAAGGTTATTAATGCCTTTGCGATAGAACTCCGACGATCTAGACTGCACAAACTGTGTGAAAGCATTTTGTACTGCCTCCTGGGAAGAAAACTTCTTGTCACGTAGATAATTGTCCAAATCACGAAAAAAATGGTAGTCCGTTGGTGCAAGGTCTGGTGAATACGGAGGATGACGAATGGTTTCTAACTGCAGTTCCTGAAGGGTCAAAATGGTTTCTCGTGCTGTGTGAGGTCTCGCGTTGTCGTGGAGCAATAATGGTGAAGATCGATTCATGAGTCGGGGCTGTTTTACTGCTAGTTTTGTCAACATGGTTCGGAGTTCGGCACAATAGACATCTGCCGTTATTGCTTGACCAGATCGGAGAAAACTATAGTGAATAACACCATGCTGAGACCACCAAACAGTTACCATTACCTTTTTATTGGTAAGTTTTGCTTTAGGACACTGTTGTGGCATTTGACCTGGGGTCAGCCATTGCATTTTTCTTTTCCGGTTATCATAAAGAATCCACTTTTCATCACATGTTACAATTCGATCCAATATTCCTTCATTTCTGTACCGGTTCAACAAGGCAACATAAGTTTCAACACGCGTTTCTTTCTGCAGATCAGTCAAATCATGAGGCACCCATTTTTCGTATTTTTTTATTTTATTGATTTGACGCAAGTGAGTCAATATTGTGGGTAAGGTAACGTTAAACCATGCCGCTAATTCCTGGGTAGTTTGACTAGGATCGGCTTCCACTATCTCTCTTAATTCATCGTTATTCACCTGTGACCGCCCGTCTTCCTCGTGACTCGTTCTTTAAGTCGAAATTTCCATCACGAAAGCGTTTAAACCAAAATCGCATGGTGCGTTCATTAGTAGACCCCTCTCCAAACGCAGCATTGATATTGCGGGCTGTTTCTGCCGCGTTAGTTCCGCGTCGGAACTCGTATTCAAAAATCACTCGAATTTTCGCAGTATCCATCTTTCTTGTCTAAATTGAATAACAAAAACAATTGAAAGTCGATATTCAAATGTTTCAAATTTAAAAAAAAAAATCACAGAAACCATTTGAAAAAAGTTTCATTCGAAAACCTCAAACCATGAAGATTCTATGAAAATTCAAAGAACCTATTGCAATAAAACGGCAATTTCATACTTTAACCCCTAATACTTGTGCTTTATAAATATGGGAATATTATTTAGTGTAATTGATCTTACTTAACAGTAATTTAAAATTAGGTGATTATATTAAATGTGTCTATGTGTGCGTATGTGTGCGTGTGTATAATAGTGTGAATAATGTATGTGAGCATTTAAGTAACAAATTTACAAATGTAACGTTTTTGGGGAACAGACAGATTCAGTTTCGTCATGGTTTAATAATGTAGCCATTTTCTTAAAACATTTTTACAGTCGTAATAATTCATTGGATACATTTCTAATATTTTATAAACTCTATTGTACTTAGTGATAGGCAGATTGTTTAGAGTACGGTTTTCTTGTAAAAGTTTATTTATTGATAGGGAAGGAACTATTACGTTTTTTCTTTTTAACTGACTCAAAAAAAAGCGATAACTCCGTATATGTGAACCGATTTTATGTTGGAAAGAGGGTACCTCACTATTGTTCAATTTAAATTTGAATAAATATTCCATCTTTAAAGGTGGCAAACTTGGGGATGAATCCTGTTTTGTACACTTTTCGATAACCGATTTCAGTAAAACTTGACAAATACCTAGATGTAATTCCACGAATTTTTGAGGGCTTAAAACTTTTTGCTCAAGTATCAAAGCCGAGCGACCTAAATAATAGGTAATAGATTTTAAGACCTAATTATGTAACCCTGTAATTATACAATATTTTTTTTACTTGTAAATAAAATAATGAAAGAACCAATATTTAACGTATATTTTGTTAACAATCCATAACAAACGAAAGCCGAACAAACACTACAAAACAGAAAACGAAAGAGATAGAATAGAAGTGGCCAAGTACCACTCATGTTTTAATCGTTATTGTTTTATATAGGTTTTTTGGCCCGGTGGCATGATCTTTAGGCCAATTTAACCAATAAGGAGGCAGTAGAGTATTTGATATTTTAAGTAGCAAAAGTACGATGTTCTTCTTTTGACACTCATTATTGTTCTGTGTCTATGTACGCGATGTTCTATGTACAACACTGTAATGAAATTTTGCAGTTCAGTGTCGAGTACCATAAACAATAGAATTTTGATTCGGAGCTAAAAAGAGCACCTTTGTGATATAGTTTATGAAATAATAACACATACATATTTCGTCATCCAGTTTGTGTGTGTAGTGACTTTACAGCTACCAGCCCTGGCTAGAATAAATTTGTATTGAATTTAATTGACGAAATACTTTCATAGACAAGAAAAAGTCGTTGGAAACCAAATACAAAGATCCGAGAAACAATCACATACAAATTCGTGAGGTCTGCTGGTTCATTCCGTGGGGTAGTTGTCATGGCGTCTGACACGGTTTGCTAGAAGAAGTCGGTTCAAATCCGGCCGGATCGTGGGAGCTTTTCTAAAGGTCGTATTCCAGAACTCTACTCAATACTCAAGTCTGCTCAAATCCTGACTTGAGCATTGAATGGAGTTCTAGAATACGACCCTTAGTGTTCAATCTTATAAGAAAGTAGTGGAGTAATTTCACGAAAAATAATGGAATATCAATTCAGCGGAAATTGAAAGAAGAATCTGTTTCCGTAGCAGTTCCGTCTTGGGCCCGGGTCTCCGCATGGTGCAGCGCGGCGGCACGCGGCATGGCGGGCGGCGCGTGGTCGCGGCGCGTGGCGGGGCGCGCGCGCACGCTGCGCACGCTCGTGCGCGACACGCAGCGCGCGCTGCACGACGTCACGGACATCTTGCCAGCAGGTCGGAGGGACGAGCCCTGACCCGTCACACGTTCCCTTTAGCGGCGAACCTTTGTGCACATTGCCAGGACACTGTGCAACGGAACCGTTTCTTCGGGTCTCAATTGCATTGCGCAGTATTTCTTATAAATGCGACAGTATGGGGAAATCCGTAACCGTACAAGATACGAGGAAACGACTCCGTTTCGTGAAGATATTATTTCATTGTATGGGACGAATAAATCCGGACAGCTGAACTTGGTCAAATTTCGTCAAATATTTTTTCATATAAAATCAATAGCAATCTGTTCAATTTAACCAACTTCTGCTGTCCTGATTATTTTCTTCCAATACAATAAAATAATTTTTATAAGAAACTGAGTCTACCAGTATTAAAAACACAAATCAACTGCTCTATCAAATTAGCTACAGATCGATCAGTGAGAGACGAATAAACCAATATAATGAAATATACGCGATTTTGATCAGAAAATATAATTTCATTTTCAAGAACCACCTTCTTCTACAGACCCAGAGATCTCAATAGCGATTCAAGAAATCGGCAACCAGTCGACCACACGGCCCACGGCTCTAGTTATTTTAGGCACCAGCAGTTCAGCACGAGCAAGACTTCTACATTGTCTGCTGGGGAGACCATTGTTACCCGAACCGTTACCTAGAGGATGTCGATGGGTGAGTATAACTTTGTTGAAACTCGGCACGCACTTCTTTTTTTGACGAACAAAAATTTCAAAGAACTTGATGGAATATTTTTTTTTCATAATATCTAGTGACGGGATGAACAAGTCGTGCGCGTGATGGTAAGCTATAGGCATGTGCCTGTCTATAACAGTTGCACTGCCACACAGAGCTTTAAATCGCAAAGATCTGAGGGGCACTGCCACTGCGCCCGTCACCTTGAGACATAAGTTGACATATTCCTTGTACTTGTAATTTCACCAGCACCCTTACCCTTCAAAACCGGAACACAGTAATACTGACATTACTGTGTTCCGGTTACTGCTACTGAATAGGCCCTCTTCAAAGAGTATAAAGTTTGTTTGTGACATAAAAGAATAAAAATCTTACTCGTGTATTGCAGTTGAGGATCCAATACGGCAGCAGCACGGCGGCGCAGCTGACGTTGGGTAACACCGAATTCGAGTTCGTGGAGGAACTGGAGTCCAACAAGAAGCCTTGGGATACTATTCCTCTAGAGGTAAAGTCCAACCCTGTTTTTAAAAAAGTTTAAAAAATAAATAATTTTTTTTTAAGTGCGTTGACACTTCTGGGAATAAAATCTTCCTAACATTTATAAATAGTGTAGAGAATTTGACAAGTATAAAAATAGAAATATTTTGTAACTAATGCGGTTTTTATGTTTGAAGTAAGTTGTAATGTGTGATGGAGGCAGTAAAATATGCTGGATGTGTTATCAATTTATTTATATTTTTTTACAAACTGACTGTCTGTCTGTGAAATAATTATTGGCATTCCGATGTCGGGAGTTAAAAGAAACCGTAATATTTATTTATGATGTCACGCCTTAATGACGTCGTACAGACTATGTAATAATGATTTTGCTAATAAGGGATGGAGCTCCTTTACCTGGAAATTTAAAGAAGAATATCTCTGATGTGAAAATTACGACCTACGTGGCCGAGGAGCTCGTACACCGGTTTTCATGTTGCCGCCATTTCTGAGGTTCCGGGTTCGATCCCCGGCCGGGGAAAAACTAACTTTTCTATACTTGTCTCGGGTCTGGGTGTTTGTGGTTCCGTGGTTGTTTCCGATTTCCATAACACAAGTGCTTTAGTTACTTTGGGATCAGAGCAACGTATGTGGTGTTGTCTAATATTTATATTTATAATAATAATAATAAGGCACACACTCATAACCACTAGGGAAACCCTGTATCGCGGGTGCCATTAACACACACATAGACGACCATAAATTACTAGCAGTGGCTTAAAAAATGACGTTTTCAAGTCATTGACTTACAAATAAATGGACGACGGGTCTAATACAAAAACCACGAAAAAAATGTCCCAAGTCAACCTATTTAAACGTAGTGACATGTAAAGGAATATGAAGAAGCTAAAACGTTGAATTTAAATTGTAATGTCATCGCAGTACTGTCTAATTTTTCTTGCTTCGCAGTCAGTCGAACAAACGAAGAGTAAAGCGTGAATGACGCTCTGTATACGATTTTAACGCCCTATAAGTTCGGACACTTTTTAGCGCGGACCCGACGTCCATATAATTGTAAGTCAATGTTTCAAGTGTAAAAAATTTACCTATGGAATAAATGATTGTTTGACTTTCAGTTACACCAAAACACATGAGGGAAATAAATGTTGGCCATACAAATATTTATCCCGGTCCGAGAATCGTACCCGGTACCTCTGCGTGGCAGTCCAGCATGTTAACCGTTCGGCCACCGAGGCAGTTCATTCATTAACGATTGCAAGCGTAATTTCCTTTCTGTATAATTTAAAATCTTACTATTCCTAAATTTTCAGGATCTCATCCGTCAAGACCAAACAGACCTGGCGACAATGTTAGAAATCGAACTGAACAACTCATTTTTAAAAGATGGTTTAAAAATAATCGTGCCTCCAGACATCGATACCGATCCAGGTCAAATGTCATATAGTACATTGAAAGATGTACATTCCGAATTGTATACTAAGAGAGATTTGATATTGAAGAATTTTACTCCGGTATATTTATACGCTGTAGATAGGATAGGTAGGAATATATTCGCTGAAAGCGTAATTAGCATGGTGACGTCACGGAGCGAGGAAGATTTTTGGAGCACGTTTCACTTGTATTCGAGCAAGAGTGAGGGACGTACGGAGGAACTTGTTAAGAGTACCGAAAAGACCTGGAAGGGGAGTGAACATAGTGTTTTTACTTCGGAGGTGAGTTCATTCTACATTGAGTTGTCTGAAAAAGACCGCTCTTAGCGATACGGCGGCCTCGCCTTTGCCCACGTTAGTTTTAAGCTGTGTGACCTGTGTGGCTGGCCGCCTGTCGCATTTGGCTACCTTTTCTAAATAATTGCTACCTTTGATATATTCTGAGAAATTAGTTACGTACATTTTTGGATGTTCCGTTGCAATACGTTTCGCTTATGGTGAAATTTAAATTTATGTTACGTGCACTACTTAAATATAATCTGAGTCTTTACTCATAACTGAACATTAAACATTGCACCGCAAGTACAGTATGATTGGAATGAGTAAGTTTTTTATTAAAAAAAAGCCTACCTGAGAAGTCTAGCGTAGACCTCAGAAGTAAGTCGTCTATTTGCCAGGTTTTATTGAAATCGGTTACCGTAAAATGCGCGAAACCGGATTCATCCCCTAGGTTGCCACCCTTAGAGGTGGAATATTTTCATTAAAAGGGACCAATACTGAGGTATACTCTTTCCAATAAAAAAATAATCATCAAAATCGGTTCGTAAGTAATCGCGTCACATATACAAAAAAAGTCCAATTGAGAACCTTCTCCTTTTTTTAAAGTCGGTTAATAAACATTGTGTGTGTGTGAATCGCGCAACGTCTTTTTCGCTCTAACTGCATGGACATAAAGCTTTTTATAACCGGCTGCTTTTATAAGCCAATTAAATAAGAGTGGTTTATCTTACGTGATCATAGATGTTCTGAACTTATCAAACATAATGATTTCAGCTACAGTTATGAACTAATTAATTAAATAAAATGTTAATAAAATGTTTACTATCGCACAGAACTGCCTGGACCTTCACCAAATAAAAGAGATCGACCCGCATTCGCAAGTTCTCTTCGTTCTCTTCTCGGACAGCACAGCTTCAAATCACGTAGAAGAGAACAGAGGAGATAGCAATATCGAAGCCACGGAGTCTACCGAGGACACTGTGCTCAGGACTGCGGAGCTGCCGGAGTCCGATCAGGGGTTGCTGAAAGATGGAGGGTTAAGGTGCAGTGGCTTTTTTGTTTATAAATGTCACGTTAGTTTGACAATTCAAACTGGGCGAGGACGCGGATTGGGTGACACTGGTGTCGTTTGAGTCTGACGTGATCCCAAGACCGTTGGCAGGGTTGGTATATGAAAATAAGTAGTAAAGTTGTTAGTCAATGCTTTATAATCGAGCACATTACGACAAAATGGGCTTTTTGTATGCGTTATTTCGAAAGTGAACAGCCGAGCGCGGCCGCTCCCTAAGAATTCGTCGCGTGACATGTTATCCCTATCCGTCTTTTGTTCTTTCGAACTAATTACTGTAACAACTGGAAATGAATTGGCAATTTGCAAAATTTTGTTTTTTTTTTAATTTCAAGTTTCAAGTTTACCTATTAACTGTGTGAACATTATAAAATGCAACAAAAAATCTTGAATATAATATGTTACTTGGTGTGGACGGCAGAGCAGAACAATACTCTTCAAGACACTGGTAAATAATAATTTTCTCAAACATGCTCGGAAGTATTTGCATTATATACTTTCAAAAAACGGACTCGGAAAGTTTGTCATTTACGGACCGTGCGATTTCTTGCCGGCCAAGGCCTGCAATGTAAGTATGAAAATCCATTACTGTCTGCTGCTCTAAACTTTTAAATCTACCTGCTAACAATGATCTATGTAAACTGACAAAGTAAAACTTATATAACCATCTGTCCAGTGTTCGTAATTGCGAGAATTAAAAGTGCTGCTTACTTTTTATTTTTTCGTCTCTTTTGTATTTTCGTCGCGAAGATGAGTTCTAATCAGAAGAACGATAATAAAAGTACAGTACTTAATGGATTGTATTGGCACAAGAGGCAATTTTAGCCAATTGTCAAATATTACTTTTAACAATAATTAAAATTTTTACTTTTTCTTTTATACATCTTTCTCTCTTTAGTCTTTTATAATTTCCTCACATTATTTGTGAAAAGCACTATATATGCTTCGGCGGGAACGGAGATTGCACAAGGTCTCGAGCAACAGCTCGGCCTTGTAACTCATACTCGTCCAGCAATCCCTTACTTCCCGGCCTCTGCAATAATTTACTTTTTATTTATCAATCGCTCTTCCATGATTATGCACCTATTCTAATTGGAGTATAGAAATATTGCTCAATTCGTTTACACACCATTGTTAAATCAGTATTTTTTTCCTTAGATCGGAGACACTATCTCTTGACGGCGAGCCAAAAGCGGACATCAGACGGCTGCGCGAGGATCAAACTGCTTTCATGAATGAGCTGCTCGACCAGTGGGAGTTAATGTGTAAGTATTTTAATTATTGATGGTTTTGCGCTGAAGCTAAATGCATTTCGAGAAAACAAACTTATCAAAAAGAAAGTAATAATTGTATAATCGTGTATTCATCTCAACATATAAATAAATTAATGTACACTAAAGTTTGTCCTAATGCATTATGCCAAGTAAATAAAGTGGTTTGGTTAAAATTATGAAGCAATCACTCAATAAATGGAATAAGTAACACGGTCACATATATTTTGAAGATTTCGACTTGATATCCCATCACATTTTCTAGCAATATTCATTTGAATAACATATTAAAATTTTATGTGAAAAATGTTAATTTAAAAGTGAGGTTATTTCTCAAATATAGATTGGTGAATACTCTATGGTTGCATAGGGCTGTACGGGTATAACTCAGTTGGTTCATTCAATTAAAGTTCTTGTAGTCGATTCGTAAATCGAAAATTTAATCGCAATCGAACGAATACCTAAGGGTAAGGATTAAAAGGAGGATTTAAAATTAGATTTCTGAAATTTTTAATTTACTTTTATAGGTTATGTAAGAAAAAAAATCTAATCTCATGTAATATCATCACTCAGTATTGAATAACATATTTTTTATAGTAATCAACAACAAAATTGCAAAACCCATTTTATTATATAAAACCCAGTTGTTCCAACAGATTCAATGAAACATATCGATTCATTCAATTAATAGATTTGTAGTTGGCGGTACAGTTGGTCATCACTAAACTATCTATGGTCGGGTCAATGATCTGTTTGTTTACTTTTGTGGTATAATAGATTGGGATAGACTAGGTATACATAACATCACGCGAATACGACTAAATGACTTTCTGATTGATTTTGATTTGTACAAGGATCCACCCCCGCTGCCCGCGTTCACCATTTGCAAAAAACATAATTGTTGTGTTGTGAACCATATTTATTCATACAAGAAATAAACATTGCATTTATTTCCTCGCAAATGTAATGAAAAACATTGTATGCTTAGAATAATGCATAGAATGATAGTTTCATATCAAATGAACTGTCACAAGTGAGGCAAAAATCAAATTCATGTAGGCTAGTTTTAGTAGTAGGTTAATTTTCGGTTTTAGTGAATATTTATATAAAAATACAAGTTGAAGCGCGTTACTTCCTTGTGGAATGTGATGTTAGTATCTATTTTATGTTTGTCTGACGTATTTTTACATTTACCGCACATTTCGTCATTTTTAGCTAAAATTCTGGAGCTGTTCGCGGTGCAAGTTGACCTTGAGCACTGAAGGCCCGCCCGCTCGTGTAGGCCCTTTGGGAGCGCTTCAATTTGCCCCACTTAGCGTGTGCGGACTAGATTTCTATGCGTTATTATTCTAATATTGTATGTATCACAGACGGTATTCTCACAGGGTCTCGTTATTAATTTCTTATTTGCCGTCATTAATACATAATGTACTATTATTTTGTTTCATAATTATTAATTTAATTTTTATCAATATTATCGTTTATTGTTAACTTTATCTATAATTGTGACACATTTTGCCAATTAAGTTAAAGCACATTGTAAGTATATGGCACAGTGGTTCCGTCTGGTGTGGTTCCATCATAATCTTATGTTGTGATCAAGCGTAATTCAGCGGCGTTAATTCTGATACATTTCTAGTCTTTGCTGTTCTTAACTTTCTTTATGATACCTAGCTCAAGTAGATCTATTGATTGCTTTTTCACAGGTAGCCCACCCCCGAAGCACTACGTGAAAAGCCAATACACGATAGTGGACGACGCGGAAATCCTCCGCTCGAGTGGTAGCAGCGGGGAGGCCGAGGGGCGGCGGCAGGGGGCGAGGGGGGAGCTGCTGAGCGCAGTCGTCAGGTTCGCAGCAGATTGCTGCCAGACTTACTTGCTGGAGTACTGTACAAGGCTGAGTGAGGTGTGTTTTATTTTATTAGTGCAGTGCCACAACTATAGTTAGAGTGCGTTTTATTGTTGTAATTTCTACCTTACACCATTGACCAATGCCACTGCTAATCGCGGTACAAGAAAGCGTAGTCGGGTATTTAGTACCTGTTGGTACAGCAGATATCGCCACGAGTACCAAATAGCTATTTTTGTAACTAATTTGTTTTACATTGACAAGCTGCAATTTATCAAGGCAACAAACTAATGAACTAGATGGCGCGTCTTGTATAGATTATTATGGATAGTGCTGGCTATCCTTTTAAAGTTAGGGTTAGCGCTATCTACCCTTACTGGTAAGCGTTAATTTATAAATTAATTTGTTACATACAATGCCATCTATTGACATGTATATTTGTCAAAGTTCAGAAAATTATTTTAGCTTATGGTCAGTATTTGAATAATATTACAAGAAAAAACTGACTCCTTATATTTCATATTTAAAGGAGAATTAACTGACGGCCTTTTATATAATATAAACTACTGGAAGAGAACAGCGTCACCTAGATATAAGACGGAATTTTAACCTTTTTCAGAGCTACTATCTGTAGTATGAAGGTTAGCAGTCTTCTTGGGTTATTGGTCCATTGTTTCATTAGATAGCTTGATATGTACCTTGAAAAGAAAACAACAGTTTCACTATGGGACAGGATTCAATGGATGCAAAAGCCCGTCCTCCCCATTCCATTGCCGCGTCAGTGTTGCTATTTTTTTTTATAATCCATCGAAGTCGAGTCAAATCCGTAACTATATTCTAACAAAGACAATTTTGAGGTTTGAACGTTTAAAAATCAACAACTTAACTAGCGGGTGCTAACACATCATTTGGCGAGAAAAAGTGCTGCCTGTTATGTATGTACGTTTGTATAACTTAATCCGTGCCTACGAGTACTATCACACACTTGTCGCTCCAGATCCACGTGAAGCTGCTGCAGCAGTTCATCCTGGCGTCCTTCGACATGGCGCGCGAGCTGCAGGTCGTGCCCAAGAAGATCCAGTACGTTGCCAGGCAGGAGCAGCAGCTTTACGAGGTTTACTATACATACATATTATCGCTCCTGTTTGCCACTGAGGTAGCTGAGACCATGAACCTCCGATTGCTATACTCCTGGCAAACCGTCGCTTCGTTCTCTAGCATCGGACTCTTATGGCCTTTTTATTCTTGACACTTTAACCCTATTTATTCTGATAACCCTAAATTCTAATTTTCGGTGGGCATAGTGTATCCATTCCTTGGCACAATAGGAAGGATAAAGCAAAGCGGTTCGTGCTAACGGGTGATAGGGTCTATTAGGGTAAGAGGAACACCTGGGAAAGAGGGACACGAAGCCTTAACTCGACATCCAAAAGAGGCACTGCAGTCTCTCAGTAGATAAAACAGACAAACAAATTAATTTTAACAATTTCTAAGAGACGTCGCTGCGATGTTTCAAATCCATGGAACCGAAAAAATAAGTCGTGCGCTTGCTAGTAAGCGACACGCCTGTCCATAGCAGTTGCAGTGTCATTCAGAGCATTAAAACACAAAGATCTTATGGGCACTGCCACTGCGCCTGTTACCCTGAGACATAGTTTGACAAGTCCCATGTGCCTGTAACTTCACCTGCGCCCTTACCCTTCAAAACCGGGACGTAATAGTCAACATTACTGTTTGGCGGCAGAAATAGGTAATTTACTTCCCTGGACGAATTCTTTCACACGGAGCTCTACTGCAACTAAATCTTACTACGAAATCTCGGGATGAGAAACTATATATAATTAAAAAAATATATATATCAATGACATAAGGTTGGAGTACTCCAGACTTCTAGTCAACTGAAGCACGAACGGTATCGGTGTAACTAAGTTGTAAAACTTAGACATTAAGAAGACAATGATTTTGTCCATAGACAATAAACGAGAAGTTCTCCGAAGGCGACAAGAAGCTCGAGCTGGTTCGTATCATGGAAGACGTGTTGCAGGAGATGATCGCCGAAATCGATAACATGGACTGGAGCGTCGATGGTAAGATTTAACAATGGAATCCTCATGATTTTAATTGGTTTGTAAAGACTTGGATGATTAGAACAGCTTGGAGTGTAATTTCTTCGGAAATATATAATAATAATAATAATAATAATAATATATTTATTTGACATCACAAGTACAAAGAGCAATATGACAAAATTTTCAAAAAATAAACTTAATAATAATAGTATAACAAATACGCTTATTTTAAATTTTTATTGAATTGATATTCAATTATTTTTTGTGACATTATCCACTAGTTTGTTATAATTATTAATACAAAGAACGAACACTCAGAAAAAATCCCTTCGATCCGGCCGGATTCGAACCGACGTCTTCTAGCTTACCATACCAGACACTATACCAACTAAGCCACGGAACGAACCAGCGGACCTCACGAATTTTTATATGTGCTTGCGTCGTATCTCTGTATTTGGTTTTTTCAACGACTTTTTAGTCGTAGCGTCATCTATGAGAAATCTATGAAAGTTTTATCACCCAGTTAGATATCTTTACAGTTATCAGCCCCGGCGAGAGATGTCGCTATTCACTGTATTTTAAATTTTTATTGAATTTTTTCTGAGTGTTCGATCTTTGTATTAAGACGCTGACAAGCGTCGATGACCTTGAGCGATGACGCGCCTACTATAATTTCTTCAATAAGGTGGCGCCATACGCCCCAATGCGGTAAGAGTGTGGTAGTTGGACCTTCCGCTTGATTTAACATAATATTAATTGCCGCTAATAGATGGCGTTGTACTTAAAATACACGCATGCCATCAAACCAAAAAATATCAAAGCATATAAGAACTGGACATGTTATGCAAACAAGAAACAACCCACACCTCGAGTGAAATTGAGTTATGTATTTAGGTAGAACACCAGACGTGTCCTTTTCCCGCTCACAAAAGATTCTGGCTACATACCAAGCCAAAACGGAGAAAATAAAAGTCCTTCAAGGTACCAACCCTAAATAAGTAACTTTTTAATAGCTAAACAGAACCTTGCTGCTTAACTTCATGTAATGTCTTTTCTTAAATATAAACGGATCCATATCACATGTACTGAAGTACTGTAAATCTTTGGCGTTTTCATTACGAAAACTAGAACATGGTTCTCGTTAAGTAAATAAAAAGATACATAATGTTTTCTATGTATTGCTATATAATATAATAGTTTCCCTATATCGTTCTCACTACTATAGTACATTGTTTGTCTCAAATAGAGATGCGCCGAGTACAAGTTTTACCGAGTAACCGAGTACCGAATATTACCCGGTTTAACACTTGCCGAGCCGAGTACTCGGCCGAGTTACTCGGTTCATTACAACCGGAACGTGATGATCCTAAAAGCCCCCGTTGCTCTAGAATTAGGCCGATATGTCCATGAAAGTTTATTGTCGCGAGAGCAGAGTCCTTTCCTATGGTGGGCAGAGCATAAAACAAAATATCCAGAACTGGCACAGTTAGCACGACTGTTTTTACGTGCACCTGTAAGCATTGTGTATAGCGAGAGGTTATTAGCCGAAGCGGGTAATGTGTATGAAGAAAAAAGGAACAGACTTACCTGAACGCGCAGAAAGCCTTGTAAATATTCCTACATCATAACTTGCCTTTGTTAAATTTTAAATATTAATTATGTAAACTTTCTTTTTAAATTACTAAATTGCTAGAAATTGTTACAATTGTCTACAATTTCTAGTAATAAATCTCTTTTGAATATTTTCAATATATTGATGATTTTACTTTATTATGTCTATAGCTGTGATGCTTTATTTTAACCGAGTACTCTTCTCATGAACCGAGTTATTCGGCCGAGTACACCGAGTACTCGGCGCATCTCTAGTCTCAAATAACTTACCTATTTATTTCTTCACACTGTTTTTACAAAAATCTAATTATGCCGAAAGTGACATTTTGTGAGTTGATTATAGTTGCATAACTATGTCCAACTACATATCTCGTAAGTATCGTGCTCGACGGTAGACAGCCGATTACAATACAATATAAATTAATTTGTCAAAACCATGTCAAAACAGAGGTCTGGCAACGTATCCCACGAACGCAAGCTACGCAGCAGAAGTTTTCAACGTTGCAATTTTACTAAATAATCAAGGACGCAAACAATAATTTCATTTTTGTTTTGAATACTCTGTGTTTTAGGTTCTAATCCTACCAAAAATTATTTTTTTGTTCTCACCTAATGGCTAAATTTGACTTTTTCTTAAATATTTTGTTTTGATTTCAACGAATTGGTGCATTATATTTACTTATTTACGTATTTTTTTGTGTATGATATTTTTTCACACTGTTAAGTGCCTGTCCATAATTTGCAAGCAAATATTTAGCTCGTACTTTAGTAAGCGAAAGTTACTTTTTACTCCTAAATTTGTTATTTGTCTTTTATTTAAAACAAATAAAGTGTCAGGATCAAGATAAGTACCATTTAAATAACCACACCAAATTTGGTAGTAAGCAAGTTTGGTTTGCCCGAGAAAAATACGTCAAAAAATAACCACCAGAGTCTCACTGTAGTCCAGTTTTTGTATTACCTATGACAATAAGCAATATTCTAGGATTTTCAAGCTACACTTTAAGATACGTGTTACAGGATGTACTATTTTCTAAGTTCCACGTGCTATGTTGTCGCCTAAAAACACACAAAAACACCATATTTAAGCGATTTTGGACACCTCATCGCCTTAATAATTATAACGAACTAGTGGATAATTTCACAAAAAATAATTGAATATTTGAATTCAATACAAAGATACCACGCAAGCACATAGAAAAATTCGTGAGGTCCGCTAGTTCGTTCGGTGGCTTAGTTGCTATAGCGTCTGGCACGGTAAGCTAGAAGACGTCGGTTCGAATCCGGCCGGATCGAAGGAATTTTTTCTGAGTGTTCGATCTTTGTATTAATAATTATAACAAATAAGCTTATGCTAAATTGACATCATATTTTAACATATATATGCATTGCAAACGTGATGTCATGCCTAGGAGGTGTGGGACCAACGCACGGTTGCTGTTGGTCCCACACTAGGCAGAGCCTGTCCTATGGCGACCCTATTACGATTTAATTAAATTAATTTTGACAATGGTATATTACGTCACACGTTGCGTTGTGATTGTTGTAATATTAATAATAATTTAAATGTCTTACAATAGTTTAATCTAAAATAAACAAGGGGAAAAATAAACAGAAAAGAATTATGAAATGTTGAGATAAAGTAGGACAGACCAATATTCATTATTAAACAAATTTGAATACTTATATCTAATAATAATAATACCTACTAAGGTGCTTCACACATATACAAGTACACACGAATTCACAATTTGATATTGACACTAATAGCCACCCAGCAAGTCAGGCACCACAACCGCAGCTCAACAACTCCCGTCAATAATCAATTTAAAAACCCACCTATTCAATTACTCTTATGAAGCTTTCAGCGCATTCATAGCTCCATGACTGGAAGTGTGACGTAATGATTCTCCTCGCCTTATAAAAAGAGCTCTGTTTTATATTACATGTTTTTACAATTTTATTGTACATGTATGGAAATGCCAAGGTCCCAAAACGTGCCGCAAATATTTTTGCAACTTATCTAGTTTTCACCTTAAATGCACGATTTCTAAGCAAAGCAGGATATTCTGGGGAATTGAGAACACTCATGTGCATGTTAAGAGTAGCTTTCAAGATATGTGGTTTCTGCACTTTTAAGACCTTTGCTTCGTTGAATAGAGAAGTCGTAACGGTAGGGCTTGCGCAACATCACCTTTAGTACACTTCTTTGGGCTCTCTCCAGACTGATCATATAACAGGAGGCGGAGCCTCCCCACACCAATATGCAATAGCTTAAAATGGATTGATACAGAGCAAGGTAAACTGCTGTTAACAAACGCAGATCAGCAGCCTCTCTGAGTAGCTTCATGGTGTGTATTAGCTTGCGGACCCTGGCTCACGTTACTTCGATGTGAGCTGCAAAGGTCAACCTCTCGTCCAAGGTCACGCCCAATTAGCGTACGGCGGTAGATCTGAGAATCTGTTCGCAATCACAATTGGCCCACCGCGCTCCTGAAGTGCCGTAATCCGTGTCATGGTCACAAGTATGGACTTTGATTGGCGGTGTATCCCCATCTCTAGGGGCAGAGGCTTTTGTTTTGTGAAAACACAAAAATTTAGTTTTTGAAATATTCAAGGTAAGTAAATTGCGATCTAACCAATTCGAAATAAGAGACACCCCTTGTTCAACATTGCGAAAACACTCCCGCCATAGTTTGTCGGAGAAAATCTCGGCAGTATCATCACCGTAGCACACGACAGAGGAATTAGGTACGGAAATCGATTACACATCGTTGATGTATGCCAGAAATAATGATGGCCCCAAGATGCTTCCTTGGGGGACACCAAAATGCACGGGTTTTATGCTACTGGCAATGGAGTCAATTTTAACACATTGTTTCCTTCCTGTTAAGTAACTTTGAAACCAGTTCAGTGCCACCCCTCTGACTCCCATCATCTCGAGCTTTCTCAGCAGGATAGGAATGGACATCGTGTCGAATGCCTTTGCTAAATCAAGAAAGATCCCCGCACAACGTCGACCCCTATCAAGATGATCAACAATGGTCTCTACAAGGCATGTGGTAGCGTCCTCAGTCGATCTGTTTCTTCTGAAGCCCAACTGCGATTTTGATATGAGGTCATGTTTTTCAAAAAACGCAGCCAGACGCACGTTTACCAGGCTTTCAAGCAGTTTAGACAATGTGCCTAAAAGAGAAATTGGCCTTTACCCTCACCTCTTCCTCTGTCATCCATAATATATCTCTCTCGTACCTTTTGTAAAAGAGACGGTTTTCACTCTAAATCTGTTACTGGTTCATGATGCTATATCTTCAGGACAATAACCATTGTACCTACCATAGTACCGCCTAGTGAACTGCCGAGCTGGCTTCCATCTCTTGGATTTTTTTTATAATACTAAGTGACGA